TCCACTGCTGAACGGCTCTCACAGTCAGGAAGTTCTTCCTCATGTTCAGATGGAATCTCCTTTCTTGTAGTAGTAGTAATATATTGTATTATATTATCAATATTATATATAATATTACATGTAATATAAAATATAGAATTATAATATCATAGTATTATTAGTAGTATGATAATGTATTACATTATAATATTATCAATATTATATATAATATTACATGTAATATAAAATATAGAATTATAGTATTGTATTATTATTAGTAATATAATATTGTAATATATTAGTAATATAATATTACATGTAATATAAACTATATAATTATAATATCATAGTATTAGTATTATATTGTATTACATTATAATATTATCAGTCTTATATATAATATTACATGTAATATAAAATATATAATATTGTACTATTATTATTACTAGCATGATATTGTATTATTTTTTTATTTTGTACACTTTTACCCCATCCTTCCCCCCATACTATATTATATTAGTATAATATAATACTAATAATAATACTATGATATTATAATTATATATTTTATATTACATGTAATATTATATATAAGATTGATAATATTATAATGTAATAAAATACATACTTATAATATGGTATTGTTATTATTAGTAGTATTATATTGTATTATAATGAGAAATGAGTCAACTGGTATGCGTGAGGACCGCTGGCCTTGCCTTGTTTCACACCTTACTTGTTTCCCTGTTTCCTGCCTCTGTGTGCATTTGGGGATGGCAAAGCCTGAGCAGGCTTGTGCACGCAATAATACGACAACGGCATCTCTCCAGCGCTTCCTTCTTTACATGCAGGTTGCCTCTTGGGGCTGTAGCGAATGGGTGATTAACCAGGCTCTCATTAGCTAAAGAAAACAAGATTGCAGAAGACGCTCTCCATTATGTCGCTTATTGCTGAGTGATGCCAGGCTTAGCTTTCCTTCTCCCTCGAGGGATTCCCTAACCCATGCTCCTGCTGTCTTCCTAGGGACCTTGCTGCCCGGAATTGCCTCGTTGGGGAGAACCATCTGGTGAAGGTGGCCGATTTTGGACTGAGCCGGCTGATGACGGGCGATACCTACACGGCGCACGCCGGGGCCAAGTTCCCCATCAAGTGGACCGCGCCAGAAAGCCTCGCTTACAACAAGTTCTCCATTAAGTCTGATGTCTGGGGTAAGAGATTCGTGTAGCCTGAAAGCAGTTGGATTGAGGGCCAAACTGTCTGGCCCAAGGCAAGCAACATAGAATCCTAGAGTTGGAAGGGACCCTCAGAGGCCATCCAGTCCAACCCCCTTCTATCATAAAGGAAAAGCACAATCCCTCCCGACAGATAGCCATCCAGCCTCATAGACATTATCAGGTTCAAGGACAAGTCAGGCTATACAATCAAAGACTCCTAGAGTTGGAAGGGACCCTCAGAGGCCATCCAGTCCAACCCCCTGCTGCCATAAAGGAAAAGCATAATTGAAGCTTTCCCAACAGATAGCCATCCAGCCTCATAGTTATCAGGTTCATAATCCCTCCTGACAGATAGCCATCCAGCCTCGTAGACATGATTAGGTTCAAGGAGAAGTCAAGTTATAGAATCAGACTCCTAGAGTTGGAAGAGACCCTCAGAGGGCATCCAGTCTAACCCCCTTCTGCAATAAAGGAAAAGCATAATTGAAGCCTTCCCAACAGATAGCCATCCAGCATCATAATTATCAGGTTCAAAATCCCTCCTGACAGATAGCCACCCAGCCTCGTAGACATTATCAGGTTCAAGGAGTAGTCAAGCTATAGAATCAGACTCCTAGAGTTGGAAGAGACCCTCAAAGGCCATCCAGGCCAACCCCCTTCTGCCATAAAGGAAAAGCATAATCCCTCCCGACAGATAGCCATCCAGCCTCATAGACATTATCAGGTTCATGGAGAAGTCAGGCTATAGAATCAAAGACTCCTAGAGTTGGAAGAGACCCTCAGAGGGCATCCAATCCAACCCCCTTCTGCCATAAAGAAAAAGCATAATCCCTCCCGACAGATAGCCACCCAGCCTCGTAGACATTATCAGGTTCATGGAGAAGTCAGGCTATAGAATCAATGACTCCTAGAGTTGGAAGAGATCCTCAGAGGCCATCAAGTCCAATCCTCTGCTGCCATAAAGGAAAAGCATAGCTGAAGCCTTCCCAACAGATGGCCACCCAGCCTCATAGACATTAGCAGGTTGATGGCGATTCCTGGCGTTGGAAGTGACTCCCCCAAAGACCATCTGCAAACATCTTCTGCAACAAAGGAAAAGCACCTTTGTGACAGATGGCCATCCAGCCTCTCAAATCAAAGCCCCCAAAGAGGGAGCTTCCACCAGACCCTGAGGCAGTGAGTTCCACTGTTGAACTCATATATTCTTATGAGTTATATTCTATATGAGTTCTTCCTCATGTTCAGGTGGAAACTCTTTTCTTGTCATTTGAACCCATGACTTCCATGAGTTGTAGTCTGAAAGGCAGCAGGAAACAAGACTCCCTGTTATGACACCCTTTCAAACGTGGCTCTCATGTAGCCTTAAAGCAAGAAACAGAAAGATGGTGGGCCAGAATAGGTCACATTTTCCTATTATAATATTGTATTATTATTATTAGTATTATATTGTATTACATTATAATATTATCAACCTTATATATAATATTACATGTAATATAAAATATATAATTATAATATCGTATTAGTATTCGGAGTATGATATTGTATTAAATTATAATATTATCAATATTATATATAATATGACATGTAATATAACATATATAATTATAATATTGTATTATTATTATCGGTATTATATTGTATTGCATTACAATATTATCAATATTATTTATAATATGACATGTAATGTAAAATATATAATTATAATATATTATTAGTATTAGTATTATATTGTATTACATTGTAATATTATCAATATTATACATAATATTATATGTAATATAAAATATATACTTATAATATATTATTAGTAGTAGTATTATATTGTATTACATTATAATTTTATCAAATGCCTTCATGCAGAAAGCCGCAGGTTCAGTGGCTGCCATTTGCACTTGGAAAGAACCCTTGGGGAGGGGGGGTATTGACCCAAAGAAAGGTAAGTGACCCATTGGGGCCAGTTCCATAGGCCCGGTTCCCCCTCAGTACGCATCCATTGGCCCTTCACAGCCCCTTCTGCCTGCTCCATTTAGCTACAGATGCCGGAGATGGAGCCTTGGGTTTTCTGTATGCGAGGCAGGTGCTCCGCTACTGAACTGTGGCCATCCGTATTGTGAACATATGCGCCTGTTATGCAAATGGGCATAGATTTGGGTACGTCCCCCCCCCCCCAATCCCTCTGCCCAGAATCTGGGTTTGCTAATCATTCTGAAGCAACACATTTCTCGCTCTTTACGTCCTCTATTTATCACTTTCTTGTTGGTTCACTCGTATTTTAACTGGTCTTTCGATGTGCCGATGCCAATCCCAGCATTGTGGGGAGTTGAATTCCATCCAAACAGTACAAAACCAAACACTTCCCAGGTGGATCAGTCTTGTTCCTACATAGCACTGGGTTCCCTTTCTCCTCTTCGTTTCCGAACGGCAACCTTGCTTCTCCACCTGCTCGAGGACAAAGGTCTCACAAAGGGACCCGAAATGGCTCGCGGTTCTGTCTCACGTAGTACGAGATGATGTTTACCTCTTACGCGCGTCGGCAGCAGCCTTCTCTTCACATTGAGAGAGAAGGCAAAGGGTGACGGAAGTAATTATGAACAGGCTGCTGAGCTGATCGCAAATGGGGGGAGCCTTTGTACCAGGAAAATACATATTAATCCAGTGTTTTTAAAGCTGCGTTTCGAGAACTCCTGTATCATTACAAATTCTGGATTTGTTGCCGCATCTTCTGGGTTAGTGGTGGGTTAGTTCCTCTCCCTCTCTAAACTAAAATGTCATTTTCCGGTCTGTTTGAGAGATTGGAAGTTTGGAGATGATTTCTTAAATGCTACTTGTTGAGGAGATTGTAATAGAAGAGACTCCTCTTAGATATTATTGTAATAGAAGAGACTCCTCTTAAATATTATTGCAATAGAAGAGACTCCTCTTAAATATCATTGTAATAGAAGAGACTCCTCTTCAATATTATTGTAATAGACGAGACTCCTCTTAAATATTATTAAGACGTTCTTGGCTGCCAAAGCTGTTGGAGGGTCCTTCTTTGGAAGTTTTTGAATAGAGGCTGGATGGCCATCTGTCGGGAAGGCTTGGTGTTTAAGATCTTCTGCGGAGGCCCTGCTCTCAGCCCCGCCTTTTTCTCAAACACGTTTGGCGGGGACGAGGGGCAGGGCCTTCTCAGTGGTGGCCCCCCGCCTGTGGAATTCACTCCCCGGGGAAATTAGGTCATCATCATCCCTCCTCACCTTTAGAAGGAAGGTAAAAATGTAGATGTGGGACCAGGCCTTCAGGCAATTAGGCAGAAAGGACAATTGAAAATGTTGGCAATGGCTCAGAAAAGGATTATGGATAAGTTAAGCGGAGTATTCAACCATAGCATACGGCTAGATAAATAACTACTAGACTGGTAATAGCTCAGTGGACTGTAAGTTTATTGTTTCAATGTTTTATGTCTTAATGTTTTATGCTTTTAATTGTTATAATTATTGCTGTCTTGTATTTTATTATGCGGCATCGAATGGTTGCCAATTGGAAGCCGCCCTGAGTCCCCCAGGGGTTGAGAAGGGTAAAAGTGTTCGAAATAAATAAATAAATAAATAAATAGGATGGTGTATTTTCAACTGGTGGTCCCAGTGGTGATTGGCACACTGGGTGCAGCACCTCAAGACCTTGGCCTGCACTTAAACACAATCAGCACTGACAAAATTACGTGCCAGCTGCAAAAGGCCACCTTACTGGGATCTGCACGCATTATTCGCCGATATATCACATAGTCCTAGACACTTGGGAAGGGTCCGATTTGTGATCCAATACCACAGCCAGCAGAGTGTCTGCTGTGGACTCATCTTGTTGTGTTTCAAATAATAATAATAATAATAATAATAATAATAATAATAATAATACATCACACAGTCCTAGACATTTGGGAAGTGCTCGACTTGTGATTTTGTGATACGAAATCCAGCATATATATCTCGTTTGTTGTTACATATTGTGTTTTTGTGTCAGTAAAATAATAATAATAATAATAATAATAATAATAATAATAATAATAATAAAATGTATTACCTGCTCTCTCCAACAGTGTTCAAATAGGAAAGTGAGAGGGCAAATATGAGCAAAAGTTGTGTCTGAGTGTGTGTATATTTCACATATCTGATTTGCAGAGGCAGAGGTTTCCATTAATCTGCTTTGACGTCTCTTAATTGTGCCTTTAACGGGACTTGAAGGGACTCGAGGCGTTCAGGTTGGAGATGAACGAGTCAACTGAAAATTAGGCTAATTCCAACCCATCAGGCATGCCTGGATTGATGAAGGGCTTGTTCCTCTTGTTTAATGTCTCCGCAGTCTCGAAAGACCCCCAAGCACCCCATTGTTTTTCTTCTTTTTGCAGCCTTTGGCGTCCTGCTTTGGGAAATTGCCACCTACGGGATGTCCCCTTACCCTGGGATCGACCTCTCGCAGGTCTACGAACTCCTGGAGAAAGACTACCGCATGGAACGCCCGGAAGGCTGTCCAGAGAAGGTCTACCAACTGATGAGAGCATGTAAGGAAGGGTCCTTTGGAGGCCAGAAGCTCCCTCTCCCTGAAGGGCTTCCTTGAAAGTGGGGCAGGGGCTGAAGTAGCACCTAAGCCAGTGGTTCACAACCTTCCTAATGCCGCGACCCCTTAATACCGTTCCTCGTGTTGTGGCGACCCCCAAATATAACATAATTTGGCTTAATACTTCGATAACTGTAATTTTGCTCCTGTTATGAATCGTAATGTAAATATCTGATATGCAGGATGTATTTTCATACATAGGACCAAATTTGGCACAAATACCTGATACGCCCACATTTGAATACTGGTGGGGTTGGAGGGGGATTGATGTTGTCATTTGGGAGTTGTAGTTGCTGGGATTTAAAGTTCACCTACAATCAAAGAGCATTCTGAACTCCACCAACGATGGAATTGAACCAAACTTACACAGAACTCCCATGACCAACAGAAAATACTGGAAGGGTTTGGTGGCATTGACCTTGAGTTTGGGAGTTGTAGTTCACCTACATCCAGAGAGCACTGTGGACTCAAAAAATGATGGATCTGGACCAAACTTGGCATGAATACTCAATATGCCCAAATGTGAACACTGGTGGAGTTGAGGAAAATAGACCTTGATACTTGGGAGTTGTCGTTGCTGGGATTTATAGTTCACCTACATCCAGAGAGCACTGTGGACTCAAACAATGATGGATTTGGACCAAACTTGGCATGAATACCCAATATGCCCAAATGTGAACACTGGTGGAGTTGAGGAAAATAGACCTTGATACTTGGGAGTTGTCGTTGCTGGGATTTATAGTTCACCTACATCCAGAGCATTCTGAACCCCACCAACGATGGAATTGAACCAAACTTGGCACACAGTCCTCCCATGACCAACAGAAAATACTGGAAGGGTTTGGTGGGCAGTGTCCTTTGGTTTTGGAGTTGTAGTTCACCTACATCCAAAGATGACTGTGGACTCAAACAATGATGGATTTGGACCAAACACTACACAAAGACTCAATATGCCCAAATGTGAACGCTGGTGGAGTTTGGAGAAAATAGAATCTTGACATTTGGGAGTTGTAGTTGCTGGGATTTATAGTTCACCTACAATCACAGAGCATTCTGAACCCCACCAACAATAGAATTGGGCCAAACTTCCCACACAGAACTCCCACGTCCAACAGAAAATCCTTTGTTTTCTGATGGTCTTCAGTGACCCCTCTGACACCCCCTTGCGACCCCCCTGGGGGTCCCAACCCCCAGGTTGAGAATCACTGACCTAAGCTAACACATTGCTGTCTTTCCAGGCTGGCAGTGGAGCCCCTCGGACAGGCCTTCCTTCGCCGAAATCCACCAAGCTTTTGAGACCATGTTCCAGGAATCCAGCATCTCTGAAGGTACGTGTTATCGCCCGTAATTCTCGCTCTGTGGGAAGCGAGATAAGTGCTTTGTTTTCTGCATGGCTGCTCCAATCTGCATAACCCCACGCACTGTTTTCTTTCCCCTTATAATGGAAAGCTTATCTTATCTTTTTTTTCTTCTTCTTCTTCTTGGGTAAGTCAAGGCAGGCAGGGGTTGAGAACTCCAGATCAGTGAGCATCCATCTCTAATAAGTTGAGAGAGAAAAGGAAAGGAAACTCTTCTGAAGAGCTTCAAAAGCTGGGAAAATCCTGGGAAAAAATCCTCTCCTTCAATTCATAGAATCATAGAGTTGGAAGAGACCACAGAGGCCATCTAGTCCAATCCCCTACCATGCAGGAAAAGCACAATGAAAGCATCCCCAACAGATGGCCATCCAGACTCTATTTAAAAGCTTCCAAGAAAGGAGCTTCCACCAGACTCCAATAATAATAATAATAATAATAATAATAATAACCCACACGATCTCTTCGATCATCTGGAGAGGCCCTGCTCACACTCCCACCACCATCGCAAGCGCGATTGGTGGGGACGAGGGAGAGAGCCTTCTCGGTGGTGGCCCCTTGACTCTGGAACTCACTCCCCAAGGACATTAGGCAAGCCCCAACTCTGGCAGTCTTTAGAAGGAGCCTGAAAACATGGTTGTTCCAGTGTGCCTTCCCAGAATAAGGAATCCCAAGCAATACGTCCCAAATGCACTTTACGAGAGATTTAGAACTGTCTGCACGCCCACCTATCCCTAAAATATCCATCCTATTTCCCTTGGATATGCCCAGCATTTTTAAAATTTTAATCCTTACATTTGGCCCTGCCACAGGTTTTTAAAATGCGTAGTGTCATTATTGTATTGTTTTGCTTTGTTATGAGTTATTTATTGTTGTTTGTTGTTGTTATGTTTTATGATGTATTTGGGCTCGGCCTCTTGTAAGCCGCACCGAGTCCTGCGGGAGATGGTAGCGGGGTATAAATAAAGGTTTATTATTATTATTATTATTATTATTATTATTATTTATACCCCGCCACCATCTCCCTGAAGGGGACTCGGGGCAGCTTGAAGGGGACTCCGAGGCAGAGAGTTTCATTGATGAACAGTTCTCACATTCAGGAAGCTCTTCCGAAATTTCCTGAATTGCTGGGCTACATGGACAATAATAATAATAATAATAATAATAATAATAATAGTAGTAATAATAATAATAGTAATAATAATAATGTAAAAACACAATCCAGAGCAGAAGAGAACACTGGCCAAAGAAGGCTCTCTCTCCATGGACAGTTCCTGGGAAAAATGGAGAGCCAAATGGACAAAGAAAAAACATGGCTGTGGCTCACAAATTGGACTCTGAAAAAGGAGACAAAGGAGGGCCTGATTCTGGCAGCCCAAGAACAAGCCATTCAAACCAAGGCCATCCAAGCCAGGATTGAAAAGTCAACAACAGATCCCAAGTGTAGACTCTGCAAAGAGGCAGATGAAACCATAGATCCCATCCTCAGCTGCTGCAAGAAGATCACAGACAGACTCCAAGCAGAGGCACAACACCATTACTCAGATGATCCATTGGAACCTGTGCCACAAACACCATCTGCCTGCCACAAAGAACGGGTGGGATCACAAGCCGGAAAAAGTTACAGAAAATGGCCACATCAAACTACTCTGGGACTTCCGAATTCAGACAGAGTTTTGGAGCATAATACCCCTGACCTCACGATCGTGTTAAAAAACAAAGTATGGATCGTCGATGTTGCAATCCCAGGTGACAGCAGAATTGCAGAGAAACAACTGGAAAAGCTGACACGATACGAGGATTTAAAGATCAAACTGCAAAGACTCTGACACAAGCCAGTCAAGGTGGTCCCCGTGGTGATCGGCACACTGGGTGCAGTGCCTCGAGACCTTGGCCTGCACTTAAACACAATCGGTGCTGACAAAATTACCATTTGGCAGCTGTAGAAGGCCACCTTAATGGGAACTGCATGCATTATTTGTTGATACATCACACAGTCCTATATACTTGGGAAGTGTCTGACGTGTGATCCAATTCAACAGCCAGCAGAGTGATCTTGTCTGCTGTGGTCTCACCTTGTTGTGTTTCAAATAATAATAATAATAATAATAATAATAATAATAATAATAATAATAATAGGTGATCCAATGCAACAGCCAGCAGAGTGTCTGCTATGGACTCATCTTGTGGTGTTTCAAATAATAATAATAGGTAAAGGTTTTCCCCTGACATTAAGTCCAGTCGTGTCCGACTCTGGGGGTTGGTGCTCATCTCCATATCTAAGCCGAAGAGCCGGCGTTGTCCATAGACACCTCCAAGATCATGTGGCCAGCATGATTGCATAGAGTGCTGTTACCTTCCCGCCGGAGCAGTACCTATTGATATACTCACATTTGCATGTTTTCAAACTGCTGGGTTGGCAGAAGCTGGGGCTAACAGCGGAAGCTCACGCTCTCCAAATTTGAACCTGCAACCTTTTTGGTCAACAAGCTCAGCAGCTCAGCGGTTTAACCCACTGTGCCACCGTGGGCTCCCAATAATAGTAATAAACTTTATTAATACCCACCACCATCTCCCCAAAGGGACTCGGGGCAGCTAACATGAGGCCAAGCCCAAGGATTACAATACAGCAAAATAAAATACAACAGCAAATAATAGTAACAAAGTAAAGTGCAAACAATAGCAAATACACAATAAACAAATGCAAAAGAAAATAGTGGAAGAATAAATAAACATATTATGAGGGTTCTCCAGAAAGTAAGATTTTTTTAAAAATACAAAGAATGAATCTATTTTAATAGAACTTACATGGATTGTAGTTTAGGTATTACATTATTTTTCCACGTAATGACCACTCAATTCCATACATTTTGTCGTCTGTGGGTTGAGTTGAGTGATGCCTGTGTCATACAAGTTTCCCTCCACCTTTTCCAGCCAGTTGAATCTATTTTAATAGAACTTACATGGATTGTAGTTTAGGTATTACATTATTTTTCCACGTAATGACCACTCAATTCCATACATTTTGTCGTCTGTGGGTTGAGTTGAGTGATGCCTGTGTCATACAAGTTTCCCTCCACCTTTTCCAGCCAGTTAGTCACTTCAATTTTCACCTTCTTGTCATCAGAAAACAAGTGTTTTCCACCCAGGTGTTACTTTAATTGAGATGAGTCGATGGGTGCGAGATTGTGGCTGTGGGAGGGGTGGCTTCAAACATTCCAACCAAAGGAAGTCAACAACTCTTGTGTTGCATGAGCGGTATGCAGACCCGCATTTTCATGAAGGAGACAGACTCCCACCATTAGCATCCCAATACGTTTGTTTCAGATGGCTCTGCAAAGTTTCTTCATAGTCTCACAATATATTCCGTACTCATTTTGTTACGTGCTCTCTTGACATGATGTTCTCTCCATAAACTGAATCGATTTCGCAATGAATCGCAGTGGCATTCATACCCTTCGTATATTTAGTTAGCAAACCCTCTCTAGCCTTCACCACAGTCCCAGTTGATGAGCTACTGACGACTGGCACTGCTTGTTCACTTCTGCTGGCTTCCCGCTACATGGCATTGATACCAACTTCTCCTAGAAAATTCCCCATGAGAACTGCATGCCTTGTAACCTTACTTTCCGGATAATCCTTGTACATAATACATTGCACTTGGAGGGAAACAGAAGGAGAACTCTCATCTCTAACCTTCACCACAACGCCAGTCGATGAGCTACTGACGACTTGCACTGCTCGTTCGCTTCTGCTGGCTTCCCGCTACACGGCAGTGATTCCAACTTCCTCCAAGAAAATTCCAAACAAGAGCTATGTGCTTTGTAAACTTACTTTCCAGATATCCCCCGTACAGCGCAAATTTTGCACTTGGAGGGAAACAGAAGGAGGACTCTCATCTCTAGCCTTCACCACAGTGCCAGTTGATGAGCTACTGACGACTGGCAGTGCTCGTTCGCTTCTGCTGGCTTCCCACTACATGGCAGTGATTCCAACTTCCCCCAAGAAAATTCCTCACAAGAGCTATGTGCTTTGTGAACTTACTTTCTAGATAAAAATTATATGAAGGACTGAATGGGATGGGAGGAGAGAGGAAATGGAAGCCAAATTTCCCTCAACTCCTGTATTGAATAGCTTGAGTGCATTGGATTAGGGTTTGATACACCAGAAGCTGATTTATAGCTCATCAGGCCATCGGTCCTTCCAGTTCCGCGAAATTTCCATCAAGGAGGGGCAAAGTGTCATCTTCCCAACAAGACATCAATTAAAAGGTGGCTAGATAATATGGGAGCCCCCACTGACGCAGCAGGTTAAACCACTGAGCTGCTGAACTTGCTGACTGAAAGGTTGGTGGTTCAAATCCAGGAAGTGGGGTGAGCTCCCAGCTTCTGCCAACCTAACAGTTCGAAAACATGCAAATGTGAGTAGATCAATAGGTACCTCTGCAGTGGGAATGGCGTCCATGCAGTCATGCCGGCACATGGCCTTGGAGGTGTCTTTGGACAATGCTGGCTCTTCGGCTTAGAAATAGAGATGAGTGCCACCCATGGCCTTGGAGGTGTCTACGGACAGAATGAAACTGGTGAGACATATTCACAGTAGCTGTTTGTTTGCAAAAAGGGTGTGAGCAATCCAAACCAGCTTCCCCTTTTGCTTCCAAGTGCATCAAGCTCAGGGGAGCATCCTTGCTCTATGTTCAACATTTACACAAATTTATAGCCACTGCCAGAAGGGACAGAGAGTTTCCTCTATGCTGACGATAGTGCCATCACTGCCCAAACAGGGAGCTTTGAAATGGTTGAACAGAAGCTCTCCAAAGCTTTAGGTACTCTTATAGTTTCATCTATGCTGATGATCATGCCATCACTGCTCAAGTAGAGAGCTTTGAAATGGTTGAATAGAAGCTCTCCAAAGCTTTAGGTGCCCTTATAGTTTCATCTATGCTGATGATCGTGCCATCACCACTCAAGCAGGGAGCTTTGAAACGGTTGAACAGAAGCTCTCCGAAGTTTTACTTGCTCTTATAGTTTCATCTATGCTGATGATCGTGCCATCACTGCCCAAACAGGGAGCTTTGAAACGGTTGAACAGAAGCTCTCCAAAGCTTTAGATGCTCTTATAGTTTCATCTATGCTAACGATCGTGCCATCACTGCCCAAACAAGGAGCTTTGAAATGGTTGAACAGAAGCTCCCTGAAGCTTTAGATGCTCTTATAGTTTCATCTATGCTGATGATTGTGTCATCACCGCTCAGGCAGGGAGCTTTGAAACGGTTGAACAGAAGCTCTCTGAAGCTTTAGATGCTCTTATAGTTTCATCTATGCTGATGATCGTGCCATCACTGCCCAAACAGGGAGCTTTGAAACGGTTGAACAGAAGCGCTCCAAAGCATTAGGTGCTCTTATAGTTTAATCTGTGCTGACGATTGTGCCATCACTGCTCAAGCAGGGAGCTTTGAAACGGTTGAACAGAAGGTCTCCAAAGCTTTAGGTGCTCTTATAGTTGCATCTGTGCTGATGATTGTGCCATCACTGTCCAAGCAGGGAGCTTTGAAATTGTTGAATAGAAGCTCTCCAAAGCTTTAGATGCTCTTATACTTTCATCTATGCTGATGATTGTGTCATCACCGCTCAAGCAGGAAGCTTTGAAATTGTTGAACAGAAGGTCTCCAAAGCTTTACGTGCTCTTTACTCCATGCAGTCATGCTGGCCACGTGAACTTGGAGGTGTCTACAGACAAATACCGGTTCTTTGGCTTAGAAATGGAGATGAGCACCAGAGTCCCAGAGTTGGATATGACTACACTTAATGTCAAATGGAAACCTTTTTCTTTACTTTAGAGAATGGTGGATGTTTGCATCATGTTTGGAGGTGTTGTGGGACCCACAAATGTCCTGCAAATATTTTCCCAAAACATTGTCTTCTGAGTTGTATATATTGAGTATGTTGTGCTGGAAAGGAAACGGGGAGAGAGAAAGGTGTTTGATTCCGTCTCTAACTTCCATTGATATTAATCCCATCCCAACAAGATGGCTGTTCCTTGCTTCAGGGAATGTTGAATGTTTGTTTTCGTTTTCTCCTTTCCAGAGGTGGAGAAAGAGCTGGGCAAGAAAGGGATGAGGAGCGTAGTCAATACCTTCCTGCAGGCTCCCGAACTGCCGACCAAGACACGGACGTCCAGGAGAGCGGCCGAGTCCAAAGAGGCCAACGAGGGCTTGGAGGCAGCGGCCACGAAAGGTCTCGGGGAGTGTGGTACGTTTCAGGTCTGATTGCGAGGCAGACCAGAAAAGGATCCGAAAGGGGACTCTCCTTCTCCTCTCTTTCCTCTTCCCCTTCTTCCTCTTGCATGAAATTGCCTGGTCCTGTTCGAATCAGTGAAGAGAAGGAGCTCTAGGACCTTGTGTGCCTGCCCGTAGGTGAGCTTTCCTTCCTGCAACCCAGGCAGGGGATCATCAAACCAGTGCACCTTAATAAGGGTTATTGACATAATTTATGCGAAGCACTCTGAACACTTTAAAAAAGGAGAAGGAGAAATTGGTGAATAAATACCAAATCTTGTTATTACAGCAAGCATGAACAGAGGGAGCGCCGTGAGCTGCATTGCAAATCAGAGACTGGGGGGGGGGGGGGGGGGCTGAGCCAAGGAAAGGGACCTTCTCTCTCTCTTGTCGAAGAATCACTGGGTTGCTTTGTTTCCCGGGCTATATGGCCATGTTCTAGAAGCATTCTCTCCTGATGTTTTGCCCGCATCTATGACAGGCATCCTCAGAGGTTGTGAGGTCTGTTGGAAAGTAGGCAAGTGGGGTTTATATATCTGTGGAATGAGGTCCAGAGTGAGAGAAAGAACTCTTGCCTTCTTGAGACAAGTGTGAATTCTGCAATTGATCACCTTGATTAGCATTGAATAGCCTGGCAGCTTCAAGGCTTGGCTGCTTCCTGCCTGGGGAAATCCTTTGTTGGGAGGTGTTAGCTGGCCCTGATTGTTTCTTGTCTGGAATTCCCGTTTTTTGAGTGTTGTTCTTTATTTACTGTCCTGATCCTAGAGTTTTTTTAATATTGGTAGTCAGGTTTTGTTCATTTTCATGGTTTCCTCCTTTCTGTTGAAATTGTCCACATGCTTGTGGATTTCAGTGGCTTCTCTGTGTAGTCTGACATGGTGGTTGTGAGAGTGGTCCAGCACTTCTGTGTTCTCAAATAATATGCTGTGTCCAGGTTGGTTCATCAGGTGCTCTGCTATGGCTGATTTCTCTGGTTGGAGTAGTTTGTAGTGCCTTTCATGTTCCTTGATGCGTGTCTGGGCGAGGCTGCATTTGGTGGTCTCTGTGTAGACTTGTCCACAGCTGCATGGCATATGGTAGACTCCTGCAGAGGGGAGAGGATTCCTCTTGTCCTTTGCTGAACAGAACATGAAACAATCAGGGCCAGCTAATCACCTCCCAACAAAGGATTCCCCCAGGCAGGAAGCAGCCAAGCCTTGAAGCTGCCAGGCTATTCAATGCTAATCAAGGTGATTAATTGCAGAATTCACACTTGTCTCAAGCAGACAAGAGTTCTTTCTCCCATCCTGGACACCATTCCACAGATAGATAGATAGATAGATAGATAGACAGATATGTTATGAACCCAAAGAGGTTCCTGTTCTTTTGTGCAGAGTGTATAAGGAATAGTAAGGTAGTTTAGATCAATGAGACACTTTAGAGACCAAATTTGGTTTTGACACTATTCATGTAACATTTATTGAAATACAATCATCACAGAATCATATCAGAATCACATCAAGGAGAGCTCTCGTGCACACACACATTCATTCATACTCACGCACACACAGGCCTCTTCCGGCAAAGATGATCAGTCTTTTCCGAAGAGGTGTGGACGCTCCATTGCCATGGATCAGGAAGCGTGCATCTTCTTGGTGTCCCCTGCATTTATAGGCCAAAATCCATTTTTCTTCTATTCTTTCTAATAATCAGGTTGTTCTGTTCCTTTCAAGTCCATTCCAGTCCAGGACATCCTCAATCCAGGCCTTATGACTAATGGGGTACACCTGCACACTCCTTACATGCTTGGTCACACACCTTATTGTCCATTGTCATTCAGTTATGCCTTGCTGCCTCCTCGCTTCGACTGTCAAGGCCGTCCCACATAATGCTTTGCAAGAACTCCATGTTGGTTTTCTTCAGGCCTGTTTCTTCTGCCTTTCTACATGCATACAGACATCCATTCTTTACAGATAGATAGATAGATAGATAGATAGATAGATAGATAGATAGACAGACCTCAGTCGCCTAGTTTCCTTTTTTTTAAAAAAAAAAATCTTTATTCAGTTTTTAATAATATAATTTTAAAAAAGGATGGGAGGGGTGTGCGGAGGTTTGGGAACATGGGGTAAGTGGGGGGAGGGGAATGAGTCTAAAACACAAAAAAGGAAAAAAATACAGAACTATAAATAAATAAATGGATAAAAACTGACTTCCATTCTATTTTCAGGCTGTTTATAGTCCCCTTATATAAAGTTATCCCTGAATTTATCCAGGGGTGTATCCATCCCCGATTATCATCCTTCCCTGTCTAATTTGTCCGTCACTGTCTTTCTATTTTTTTAGTAGACTTTATGTCCATATGTCTTCTTTCATACTCCTCGAACACTGCCCATTCTGTTTGTTTCATTGGTCTACCTACGCTGTTTTTCAAAAGAAAAGTCAACTTATCCATATCCTTTATATCAGAAAGTTGATCAAGCCATTGTTCTATTGTTGGGATGCGATCTTCTTTCCAGTGTTTAGCAAAAATCATTCTTGCTGCTGTAGTAATGTAAGTGAACAGTATATCCTCATTACTATTCAAGTTTAGATCTTTATCCGTGAAACCTAATAGAAAGTATTCCGGCTTGCGTGGAATCTTTTCTTTAAGGATTTTTTGGGTTTCTTCTTGTATGGCACGCCAATATTTGGTGGACTCTGGACAGGTCCACCACATATGATAGAAGCTTCCTAGTTGTGTTTTATATTTCCAGCAGGTACCTTGGTAACTCTTATACGTCAAATTCAACTTTTGGGGCATCAGATACCATATATGAAAGATTTTCAACCAGTTTTCTTTGAGATCAGCCAAATAAGTATATTTTATTTTTTCGTCCATATTAGTTGCCACTCCTGAATCTTCATATGTCTTCCTGTGTTTTTGGCCCAAGTCGTCATACAGTTTTTAATTAATTCCGTTTCAGTTTCCCAGTCAATCAGTTGGTTGTATAGTTTCGTTATATTTTTCTTTTGTGACGTTAGCAGTTTATCCTAGTTGCCTAGTTTCCAACAGACCCCACAACCTCTGTGGATGCCTGCCATAAATGTGGCTGAAACGACAGGAGAGAATGCTTCTGGAACATGGCCAGGCAGCCCAGAAAACTCACAGCAACCTGATGTTCTCTCTATCTTTCCCAACAGAGCCCGTGGAGCACGATCCGGCCGTTTCCCCCTTGCTGCCCCGGAAGGAGCGTGTGGCTGCGGACGGGGGTTTGAACGAAGACGACCGCTTGCTCCCCAAAGACAAGAAGACCAACCTTTTCAGTGCCCTGATCAAGAAGAAGAAGAAGATGGCCCCAACGCCGCCCAAGCGCAGCAGCTCCTTCCGAGAAGTGGACAGCCACCTGGAGAGGAAGGGGAGGGCCGAGGACGACGGCAAGGAGGGCAGCAACGGCGCTTTGTTGGCGCACCCCGCGGAGGCCGAGGACCGATCCCGGTTCCAGAGCAACGAGAGTGGAGTGGCCAATGGGATGGTGGCGGGGAACTCAGGGTTGCTCTCGCCTCACCTCTGGAAGAAATCCGTTCCCGCTCCTGGGAGTCGACTGGCGGCTGGGGAAGAAGAGAGCAACGTGAACTCTTCCTCCTCTTCCTCCAGTAAGCGCTTCCTGCGTTCGTGTTCGGCTTCCTGCGTCCCCCATGGAGCCAAGGACACTGAGTGGAAGTCAGTGACACTGCCCCGCAACCTGCAGTCCGTGGGCCGGCAGTTTGATTCCTCAACCTTCGGCGGACACAAAAGCGAGAAGCCCGCCCTGCCCCGAAAGCGGGCCAACGAAGCAAAGCCCGACCCGGTGGTTTCCGCCAGAGGGACAGTCACTCCTCCGCCCCGACTGCTCAAGAAAAGCGACGAGGCACCACCCGAGGATGCCGAGTCCAGCCCCGGCTCCAGCCCTCCCACCTTGACCCCCAAACTCAGCCGGAGGCAGCCACTCGCCCCTCCCATTGCCCCTCCGTCCCAGAAGGAGGAATCGGTGAAGCCTGTTGTGGCATCAGAGCAGCCTCCGGCCACCAAAGCTGGGATATTCCTGGGGATCGGCAAGGCCGAAGAGCCACGATTGCGGAAGATGAAGCAGCTGCCTGAGAAGGAGAAGGGGAAACTGTCCAAATTGAAGCCGGCGCCTCCCCCTCCGCTCTCCGCGGCCGCTTCGTCCGTTGCCAAAACGAGCAAAGCGGGGCTCAGCGACGTCACCGAGGGGTCCTTGGCCAAAGCGAAGCCGTCCCTCCAATCTGCAGACTCAGTGGAAGGGATGAAAAAGCCCATCCCCAAAATCTCGCCTTCCTCCAAGCCCCTCCTGATGACCACTGCCCCTTCTTCTTCTTCCTCCTCCTCCTCTCCCTTTTCCGCCCCGGTTGCCCCAAGCTCGGACTCGGCAGCCTCCACGGCCTTCATCCCCCTCATTTCCACCCGCGTCTCCCTGCGGAAAACCCGCCAGCCTCCGGAGAAGATCGCCAGCGGCGCCGTCAGCAAGGACACCGTCCTGGAGAGCGCGGAGGCCCTGCGGACGGCCATCAGCAGGAACTCGGAGCAGATGGCCAGCCACAGCGCGGTGCTGGAGGCCGGCAAGAACCTCTACACCTTCTGCGCCAGCTTCGTGGACTGCATCCAGCAGATGCGCAACAAGTTTGCCTTCCGGGAGGCCATCAACAAGCTGGAGAACAACCTCCGGGAGCTGCAGATCTGCCCCGCCACGGCCGGAGGGGGCGGCCCCGCGGCCACGCCGGACTTCAGCAAGCTGCTCGGGTCTGTGAAGGAAATCAGCGACATTGTGCAGAGGTAGCAGAAGCCGCCGGAGGCCTGGACGTGGCGCAGGAGCGGCCGCCTTAACGTTTGTGGTGCCTGAGACTCAACAAGGAAATTGCACACGGGTGCAGCTTCAAGGAAGGATATTCCGGGGTGTTCTCCCATGCGGAAATGTGCGGGAACTGTGCCTGAGAAGCCCCGGTCCCTTCCTTCCGCCTTGTATGCCCAAGATGGCTGCCTTTCCTTGGCGTGGATGTGGCCAGAGACTCCTTGAGGGAGGAGGTTTCCCCCTCTCCTTCCTTCCTCTCTCTTCTTATCTTTGGAGAGTGTTCGCCTCTGAGGGACTTCGCAAGCCTTCCAACATCTTCTTCTTAATATTCAATTCCTTTACGCCGGACGCTGGCTCTGCCTGGTCAGCTTCCTCTTGTTCCTCTCCCCCAACCCTCAATTATGTATTCTTAGGGCAGTAGCCCTACCACGTTTTGTCCATCACTATTCTCTCTGCTGTCAACAAACACACAACAGTCTTGCATTTGGAACTGGCCTGGTGGTGATGGGGCATTTTGACAACACAAACAGGACTTGGACCATTGTCCTGTCCCCAATGTCTGACTTGTCCCAGAGCTGAAACATTCCTCTTCTCCCTAAATTATTTTAGTGATTGGATAGGCAACCAGATCATTGCTTAAAGCAGAAATTACCAAAGGGTGTCATATGCAAAGATTGTGAAAAAGGGGCTGGAAAGTAGAAGGACTTGCTTACCGCCTCTCTGTGTGAGTTCTCTTCCTCCTCCCAGACCCTCCTTCCTTCCTCCTCCTCTGCAAATGGATTAGCTTCCATTCCCTTTGCGTGGCCCTTGTGCCTTGTCTCCATTTTGAAACCAGTTAGGAACCTTGTCTCCATGTCTGGCCATTGTGGGAAGCCATTGATCTGATCCCCGGCAGCTAAAAGCCTCGGACCCATTTTCTTTCTTCACTCACACAGAGCCTTGAATGGGGTTTGAAGGATGTGGCCTTTCTTCGTGGAGTCTGTGAAATTTGCACATATGGGTTATCTTCTGCGCATGCGCAGTCGTTCTTGCGTATGTGCAGAAGATAACCCATATGTGCAAATTTCACAGACTAGCACTTGAGGAACACAGTTACAGGTAAGCGACTCGTTCTTCGAGTGGAATCTGTGAAATTGCATATACGGGCTACCTTCTGCGCATGCGCACGGAGGGCTGCACATGTGCAGAAGATAGCCCATATGTGCGAATTTCATAGACTTACCACTCAAAGAACACGGTTACAAGTTAGCAACTTGTTATTCTTCGTGGAATCTGAAATTACACATATGGGCATGCGCAGAAGATAACCCGTATGTGCAAATTTCACAGACTAGCACTTGAGGAACACAGTTACAGGTAAGCAACTCCTTCTTCTTTGTGGAGTCTGAAATAGCACATACGGGCTATACTTCTGTGCATGCGCACGAAGGGCTGCGCATGTGCAGAAGATAACCCATATGTGCAGATTTCACAGACTAGGACTCGAAGAACACAGTTACGCTACTTGTTATTCTTTGTGGAGTCCGTAAAATCACACACATGGGCTGTCTTCTCCGCATGCACAGCTGTGTGTGCACATGCGCAGAAGATAACCCATATGTGCAGATTTCACAGATTAGCACTCGAAGAACACAGTTACAGGTAAAACATTCGTTCTCCTTTGTGGAGTCCGTAAAATTACACATATGGGCTGTCTTATGCGCATGCACAGTCATATGTGCAGAAGATAACCCATATGTGCGAATTTCACAGACTAGCACTCAAAGAACACAGTTACAGGTAAGCAACTCGTTCTTCATCATGAAGTCTGTGAAATCGTACATATGAGCTGTCTTCTGCGCATGCACAGTTGTTGATGCGCATGTACAGAAGATAACCCATATGTGTGAATTTCACAGACTAGCACTCAAAGAACACAGTAAGCAACTCATTATTATCCTAGGTCATATGTACATCTCCTTCCATGAACCTCACCTGAAAAATAACTTAATGGGAGACTCTCACACCTTTTGACAGCCCCCCAAAAATGTAAAAACACAACCACAGGTTGCCTTTGGAAACACACAGGTTTTGCCAAAACCACCCCAAAACGCAGCTCACAAAGCCCCTTTCCTCTTGGATATCTCCGTTTTCCGAGGGTAGTCACATTTTGTGGACCATCTTTATTGTCGCCACTATTGTATACATTTATATCTCCATGTTACACACCGCTTTTTGTAGAATTGCCCCCCTTTTTTTCCATTGTGTAGATAGATGCCTCTGCTTTCCCTTCTGTAATATCTGCCGGGCTTGGCCTTTGCCCCCCTCCCCAATATATGGCTCTCCGGACCCTTCCTTTCTTTCTCTGGCTTTTTCCTTTCTCTGACTGTTGTGTTTGTTTTTTAAAGCGAAATAATTCCAGATTTTTCTTCCTTAGTATTTTTTAAAATAAATGGATGCGCAAGAACGGTTTGCGTTTCTGTCAAACAATCTCTCCCTCTCTCTTTTCCAATTTAGATAGGTAAACACACGCTCTCCGCTCTCTATATGCACACGCGGCGATAATACCACCGGCCCTCCAGATTCACCGATTCCACCATCCACAGCTTGAAAATATATTTAAATAATCTAGAAAGTAGGGCCTGATTTTACTGTATGACTATTCAATTGTGTTATCGTTGGTGGGGTTCAGAATGCTCTTTGATTGTAGGTGAACTATAAATCCCAGCAAGTACAATAATAATAATAATACAGTTGGAAAAGCTGACACGATATGAGGGTTTAAAGACAAATTGAAATTGAATCCAGACAAGGCAGAGGCCCTCCTGGTCAGTCGCAAGGCCGAACAGGGCATAGGGTGACAGCCTGTGTTGGATGGGGTCACACTCCCCCTGAAGACGCAGGTTTGCAGCTTGGGTGTGATCCTGGACTCATCGCCGAGCCTGGAACCTCAGATTTCGGCGGTGACCAGGGGAGCATTTGCACAGCTGCGCTCGTACCTTGGGAAGTCTGACTTGGCCACAGTAGTCCACGCTCTGGTTACATCCCGCCTAGACTACTGCAACGCTCTCTACGTGAGGTTGCCTTTGAAGACGGCCCAGAAGCTTCAACTAGTCCAACGAACAGCAGTCAGGTTGCTCAGGGAGCATACAACCCCCTTGTTGTGCCAGCTCCACTGGCTGCCAGTTTGCTACCGGGCCCAATTCAAAGTGCTGGCTTTGGCCTATAAAGCCCTAAATGGTTCCGACCCAATTTACCTTTCCGAACGCATCTCCCCCATGAACCATCACAGAGATTAAGATACTCCGGGAAGCCCTGCTCTCGGTCCCGCCTTCGTCACAAGCGCGTTTGGTGGGGATGAGAGACAGGGCCTTCTCAGTGGTGGCCCCTCAGCTATGGAATGCCCTCCCTAGGGAGATCAGATCTGCTCCCTCCCTCTTGACGTTCAAAGTGCTGGCTTTGGCCTATAAAGCCCTAAACGGTTCTGGCCCAGCTTACCTGTCCGAACGTATCTCCCCTTATAAACCATCGAGGACTTTAAGATCATCTGGGGAGGCCCTGCTCTCGATTCCACCTTTGTCAGCAAGTTTGGCGGGGACAAGAGACGGCCTTCTCAGTGATGGCCCCTCATCTATGGAATGCCCTCCCTAGGGAGATCAGATCTGCTCCCTCCCTCTTGACGTTTTGGAGGCAAGTTAAAACGTGGCTATTCAAGCATGTGTTTACAAATACAGAGTAGCAAATATAGGAAATTGAATGACCTGACAATGGAACTGGACAATGCTTGGTAATAATGAGACGCTGATTTTATTGTTTTTGTAATGTCTTATACTGTTAATGTTTTTTATGTATACTGATTTGCTGGAAACCGCCTTGAGTCGCTAATTAGCTGAGAAAGGTGGTATACAAATACAGTAAATAAATAAAAATAAATAAATAAAGATGGAACTGCAAAGACTCTGGCACAAGCCAGTCAAGGGGGTCCCAGTGGTGATTGGCACACTGGGTGTAGTGCCTCAAGACCTTGGCCTGCACTTAAAAACAATTGGCGCTGACCAAATTACCATCTGCCAGCTGCAAACGGCCACCTTTCTGAGATCTTTACGCATTATTCACCGATACATCACACAGTCCTAGACACTTGGGAAGTGTCTGACGTGTGATCCTTTTGGTCACCAGCATTCTTTGATCTTTTTCTTTCTAGTGTCCTAAAATACCTCCTAATTTCTCTAATCACAGCTGTAAGCTGTTTTTGAACTGCTTAGGTAAACAGTGAGCAGGGCTGACAGTCGGGTGCTCATGCCAACCCGGGGCTTCGTACTTGCAATCTTTGGTTGGTAGATCTTATTGTTGGTAATTTACCAGCTGTGATAAAGCCCCGATCCAAAGGCTATTTTCTCCAAACTCCACCAGTGCTCACATTTGGGCATATTGAATATCTGGATTGTCAAATCCATTTGGGCATATTGAATATCTGGATGGCCCACCAGGTCTGTTCCAATTCTAGGATTCTATGAAGCCTTCTAAGCCTAAAGCAGTGGTTCTCAACCTTCCCAATGCTGCGACACCTTACTACAGTTCATGTTGTGGTGACCCCCAACCATAACATTATTTTCGTTGCTACTTCATAACTGTAATTTTTCTCCTGTTATGAATTGTCATGTAAATATCTGATAGGCAGGATGTATTTTCATTCTCTGGACCTTGGAAGTTGTAGTTGCTGGGATTGTCAAATCATAGAGTTGGAAGAGACCTCATAGGCCATCCAGTCCAACCCCCTGCCAAGAAGCAGGAATATTGCATTCAAAGCACCCCTGACAGATGGCCATCCAGCCTCTGTTTAAAAGCTTCCAAAGAAGGAGCCTCCACCACACTCCGGGGCAGAGAGTTCCACTGCTGAACGGCTCTCACAGTCAGAGTTCTTCCTCATGTTCAGATGCTGGGATTTATAGTTCACCTACAATCAAAGAGCATTCTGAACTCCACCAGAGATGGAATTGACCCAAACTTGCACACAGAATGCCCATGACCAACAAAAAATAATGAAAGGATTAAGTGAGCATTGACCTTGAGCTTGGGAGTTGTAGTTCACCTATCTCCAGAAAGCACTGTGGACTCAAACAATGATAGATCTGGACTAAACTTGGCACGAATACTCAATATGCCCAAATGTGAACACTGTTGGAGTTTGGGGAAAATAGACCTTGACATTTGGGAGTTGTAGTTGCTGGGATTTATAGTTCACCTACAATCAGAGAGCATTCTGAACCCCACCAACGATAGAATTGGGCCAGACTTCCCACACAGAACTCCCATGACCAACAGAAAATACTGTGTATCATGATGGTCTTTGGCGACCCCTCCGACACCCCCTCGCGACCCCCCCAGGGGTCCCGACCCCCAGGTTGAGAAACACTGTCCTAGATCATCTAGCAGTGTAGACTCTCGGACCTGCCTTCGTCACAAGCACGTTTGGGGACGAGAGACAGGGCCTTCTCAGTGGTGGCCTCCCTAGGGAAATCAGATCTGCTCCCTCCTCCCTCTTGACGTTTCGGAGGCAAGTTAAAACGTGGCTATTCGAGCATGCGTTTACAAATACAGAGTAGCTAATATAGGAAATCGAATAACTGGACAATGCTTCTAAGCCTAAAGCAAGGCAAGGGCAACTCCCTCTGAATGAGTCTCACCAAGCAAAGAAACCTGTGGAAGAGTGATGTTTTGGGTTGGTGTCCAAGGCATAGAGCATACAAAAAATTACACTTGGTTGTTTCTCCATCTTTTCCAGATGCTGCCAGAGGCAGGAAGGGATCTGCAGATTGGAGAGAGCCAAGGTTTCCTTTGTTTCTAACTCGAAGGGGAAGGTGGGTTTGGGGGACTAAACACAGCCGAATACAGTGGGAGTTGGTTTAACAGACCGATGCCTTTCGGAGTGTGATTGCTCCAATTTTCAGGGTTATTGAGCCTGAATGTGCCAGTGCCCGGAGGCGGGGAAAGAGCATTTGTTTGGTGGTTGAAAATAGTGATGTTTACTGTCAATGCCAGCCCTGGACTGTGGCAAGGAAAATAACTGGACAACGTGTCAAAAGGGAGCAAATGGAGATGGAGAAGGCTGTTATTATTTTTGTTTTGATGTTATATAGATGTGAAGAACTTACAAGGCGCATTATGTGATGTCTCTGAAGCAAGAGCCTTCTTTTGTGTATCAGGGTTGGCTGATGAATGCAGCTCTGCAAATGGACAGCCACGTTTGGTAGAATTCAAAAACAAACCCAGGTGTCCAGGCCGAAAGCTGAGCCCCAGAGACCGTTCCTGTGGAGCCATTGTTGCACATAATGTACCAACCGCTTGCGTTGAAAAGGGCATTTCAGCAGGTTGCGCCTTGCTCCTTCTCGCATGGAAATTCCCTCTTCTGCACAACAGTTTGAGGCAGTTTCACTCCTCATTCCTTCCGAGGCTTCTAAATAACATCCCCTGCTCCTCCCTTCCAGGTTTAGCCATGGCTTTGGGTCTTACGAGGGGCGTTCATGAAATATTTCCCCTGACCCACTTTTATTTAGTCCTGGACGCCAAAACTGCACATGTCATGATAGAAGTCTCTCTAAGTTTGTTTCAGATCTGAGATTCGTGGGGACCGCATAGTTCTGTGGGAAGCGAATCAGACGAAGGTACTGCTAATCCCATCGTCCGTTGTCCACCCTCCCCCAAACTTCACTAGGTTGTGAGGTGGGTCATGGGAAGTTTGTGTGCCAAGTTTGGTCCAGGTCTGTCGTTTATCAGGATCACTGTTGTCTCAGGAAGTGAGCGAAGGTACTGCAAAACCCATCATCCCTAGTCTATCTTCTCCCTAACTGCACCAGGATGTAGAGTGGGTCATGCAGAGTCTGTGTGCCAAGTTTTGCCCTGATCCGTCATAGGTGGGGGTCACAGTGTTCTGTGGTAGCCAAAGCGATCGATAGTACTGCAAATCCCATCATCTGTGGTACATCCTCCCCCAAATTGCACCAGAACGTGAGGTGGGTCATGGGGGGTTTGTGTGCCAAGTTTGGTCCAGGTCTGTCATTTATCAGGATTACTGTTGTCTCAGGAAGTGAGAGAATGTACTACAAATCCCATCATCCCCAGTCCATTTTCTCCCTAACTGCTCCAGGATGTAAAGTGGATCATGCAGGGCCTGTGTGCCAAGATTTGTCCTGATCCGTCATTGGTGGGGGTCGCAGTGGTCTGTTGTAGCCAAAGCGATCGATAGTACTGTAAATCCCATCATCCGTGGTACATCCTCCCCAAACTGCACCAAAACGTGAAGTGGGTCATGGGGGGTTTGTGTGCCAAACCCCCGATGTTGTCTCAGGAAGTGAGTGTAGGTACTGCGAATCCCATCATCCCTAGTCCATCCTCTCCCTAACTGCACCAGGACATAAAGTGGATCATGCAGGGTCTGTGTGCCAAGTTTGGTCCAGGTCCGTTATG